TACATAATACATAAAACTCTGTGCGTATCGTGTAAACGTATTATTATTAATGATCCAAAAGTTTCTCTTGTTGAGATACGAATCTTACGGGTTGGTGTTCGATAGAATAAAAACTTCTCGTGACCGTACACACAAGCGCAATAACGATTTCTGCCGTTATTTATATTATCCCCCATCCAATAGTGACGAATAAAAAATTCAAATTCGTTTATTTTCAATCAATAATAATATGTAAATAATCATCTGAGAGTTTAAGCAATGTATTAACTTTAAATAACTTTTCGATTTTGCGTCAACAATTAATTCAATACTATATGATAGCAGTTGATATTCATGGCATAATAATATTACCTTACGTTTGTACGCGCATATTCTTTTAAATCGTAAAAAGTTTATTCTAATGTAGAAATATACGTGAACAAATATATTCCATAGTAGCAAATTTGAGGGAGCAACATATACTCCCTTCCTAAGACAGAGCGTTTTAAATTTATTTTTTATCTACTTTTTTACACACTTTACAATTTCCAGATAAATTGTTTTGATAAGTTATGGCTGTAATTATATTAACTATAGACCTATGTAATTTTTTTTATCATTCATTTTGTTCTGAGTAATAATTTCAGTCATTATTTGTTTATAAATCGTAATTTAATTTTAATTCTAATCATAGTGATTATTGACCGTAACCTGCAATCTTGATATCGACTGTTAATATATAGTTAGGTGGTAGGTTAGTGGTATTACCATAATATAACGTTGACACAGGTTTTTGTTATCAGTATTTTTAGATTTGATCTAAATTTAATCATACATATATGTTTACTCTTTCAGGAGTATGTTACTTTTAATTTGCATTTTATGAGAGGAGACACATTAAGTTTAGACCTGGTTTAATTCTGATGGTCTGAAATGTATAATCTTTTTATGGAATCGAATATGTGAATCGTTTAACTATGAAAACGTTCTGACATAATCTTTTAATTCCTTTCTATAAGTTATTTTAAAAAAAAAAAAATGTATTATAACTTCATACTACTTTTCTAATTTTCTTTCAATTTATTTTATTTTTTTAATATATATTGCCATATCCACGAATATTTAATGATATTTTCATTAATTACTAAGCACATGTCATATTATTATTATTTTTTTCATGGTCAACAACGTAACAAAGATACAGTTAATTTTCAAAATTATAATCTTATCAAGTAAGTATTTTTGATGTCTAATAACAATATTACCTCCGTGCGGTTAATATATAGGTTAAATACATTGAGAATTGTTAAATGAATATTATTGTATGAGTACTTATTTTATTTTACAAAATAATTTCTAAATAATTACTAATAATTTGTAACTTATAATATTATTATGTACACACAATATTCTAATTTAATAAAACAAAAATATCGAAATATCATGTAAGAAAGGTGGTAATAATGCAATTTGTTATGTGGTATAACGCAAGACTGAACGGTTTGATAAAATGGAGTGTCCTACTACATTATTTAATTTTTAAACCATAAAAATTAAAAAGTATATTTATAATTAATTATAAGTAATTAAGTATGTATGCTCAAATTATTCAACCTCAACAACTAATAATTATTTATGTATTATACCTATCCACCTATGTAGTTCTAAAAAATCTGATAAAAGAAAGTTAAATAAAAATGGAGTGAAACATATTGAATTAAATCAGTATTATTGAATTCATTTATATATATTTACTACTAGTTCATACTTTAATCATTTTTATTGTAGAAACTTGATTACTATTTTAGGTAAAAAGATTAAAAAATAATTTAGTTGTATATTTCTCGTTTTTCATAGATTTGAATATAAAATAACGCATAACATATTTTCAACAATAATGTTTATTACAAACTCAAACTCACACTTAGCTATTTGCAATTGTATAGTTTGCTTATAAAAAAAAAAAAATACTTAATATTTAAATTATAAAATACTCTCACGTGATACATTATAGGATTATAAATATTCTAAAAATTAAATATTATTTGAAAAATTAAAATTAAAATTTGTTATCATACTAATAATACATAATATTTTCTTTCGTCAATTCCATTTACTTATATTCATATTAAACTGTGTTAAACCCTTTTCAACTGTAACACTAATAAATTCTGTCCAACATGCCTTATTGTACGAGTGATAAAATTAAAGAAACAAAAACTGTGACCGGTCTAAAAAAAAAGTGACAACAATACAAATTCCATCGGAAAAAACCGTGAGTGACTCGTAATTTAAATAATAATATATAATGTTACGTATTTATTATAACTATATTATACACGTCATTGGATAATTTGTTTTTTCTTCAATTTAGTGTAGGTGCGTATTTATGTGAATGCCATATGGTCTACTTCATCAAAGGAGAAATATTACGTTTTCCATATTGTATTGACGTGACATATCAATTTTTCACCCAAAATGCAGCCACTTAACTCTGGATAATGAATCACAAATTTATCTCAAACGACGACGAAATATAGGACAGCTATATACATATTTTGAAACCTGTCATCCATATTGGACTAAACGCATATTCATGCAATCTATTTTCTTCGTAAATAATTACAAATAAACATATATTATCATGATAATTATGTTTTTTTTTTAAATTTTTAAAAATTTTCCCATAAAAGGGCGCCCTTCAATTACAGCGTTCTAATTTTATTTTTTTCCTACTAGTGCGCAATCGAAAACGGGTGCACTAGTCCTTCGAGCCGTACGATGATTTCGCCTTCCATTGTTTAATTTATGGTTTCTTGCATACGCTATTAGATGGTTCAAACAATGTTATCGTTGAACCTAGGATATGCCACTCTCTTTATATCATGGGTCGAATGATAGACACAATACATATAGCATTTCTCCTTGAAGTCCTCGAGTACAAACAGAACAAACAAATAAAAAATAAAAAAGTATTGCAACATTTGATTTGATATATTTGGTCGAAAATAATAATAAACACGAAAATCGGACAACTAGCAATTATATTCGGTGTTAATCCATATTCTATTATACACGTATCCTATTGTTTGTTATGTACTTTTATCTTATTATTCTACGCGATGTCATTTATCTCGCGTATTTATTGTATGGATATCTGTATTGTTTGTAATAGAATATTAATTATTTTTACCGTTAAATTATTAGTATGATATTGTTTATCGCTTGAATCTTTAATCAAATTTGATATTTAGAAATCTTTTTGACTTATTACAGGTATAATGGAAAATTAATATTAAACTTAACAACATCTAACTAATTTATCGTTTTCGATAATTTTTAGAAGACCATTATATGTAATCTAGATATTTTTTTAATATGTTTTCGTCTATAAAGTTTTTACGTTTTAAAAATATTTTTTTAAATTCAAAACGATAATTCAAAAAAATTTATTTATAATTTCAAATTTTAAATAGAACGTTTTATTCATCTATTCGTTTTAAAAGCTTTCATCAGTATTTACTACGAAAATTATAAGCATTACCACTGAAATATATACTTTGCCTAATATATTAAAACATATTTTTAACTTAATTTTTTATCTTCCACGAATACAGTTAGTAAATATGTATTATGTGTAGAAATACTTGGTTTTTATAGAAAATACTTAGGATACCTACGTGTATACAACTATATACATAAACATATGTAAAGTATCATGATGAACTATTCGTTTTATTAAATTCTTTTCCAGAATATTATGATTTATGTTACCTATATTATATGTTTCACAATTCATAAACTAATTTTGTACTTTCTGATACCGTAAAATCTTTAAAAAACCTCCTACTAACGGATAACAATGGAATAGTATATTTTTTTTTCTGAATCCGTCAATGTACACTTCACTCATGTATATAAATACAATTATAGAAATATTTTGCTTTAATTTATATAATAGATCGTATATACACGAATTTGTATAAGAAATATTCGTGACTGTTATAAAATATTATAGTACCACTAAAATTATCTGGGTTTAACAATTAGGTGTTATTATAATTTCTAAGTATATTTAGCTAATCCCATCGTTTTCAGATTGTTTTCTATCCAACGATATTTTCTAAATTCCCACTTATTAAGTTTTTCTATAGTGTACCTATATATTATTAAAGGTAATTTACTGTATCAAATGCACGTTTTACAATTGTTTTACAATTGTTATACAACCGATAAACTATTTATTTTTTCACTTTCAGGTAACTATAATATATAACAAAACAATGAAACGTTTTAAATTTATCGTGTTAAAATATATCGACGTAAACGGAAGAAAATTAATTTTGAACAAACGCTTGAACTTTCCGTTAAAAATAATTACGAAAAATGGATTGAAAATAATATTATATATTTAACGAACAATGATTTCACTATTCTTCGAAAAATTATGAAGTTATACTATCGCATAGCTATGTGTGCGCTCGTATCCTGGAGACAGTGTTTTTGCGAAGTAAATTAATTATAAAAAAAATGTTGGCTAGGGAAAAATTAGAGAAATTTAGAAAATAACGAAGATCGCATTTTTTTTAGCCTGATTAGCACTGCGATTTTTTCTATTTTTAATTATTATTTGAAACCGGTTGTCGCATGGAGACGTCACGCCAAAAACTAGTTCAAATCTATATATTCTATATTTTATAAAAAAAAAAATGATTTAAAAAAACTTAATTAAATTACCTTATTTCATTTTACTCTTTGAAGTCGATTTCGTTTGTAAATATAAGAACTTTTTGTCAATGCACGAGGTCATATTTGATATTTTAATACTTTTATAGTACTATAATAGTTTTAAAAATTCGGTAATGCAATAAAGCAACTTAATCAGTCATAAAATGATGACTACATATTAAAAACTTGGAGTGTCTGGTAAAAAAATATAGGATACAATTTAAATGACACCTAAAGTTCAGAACAATATACATATATAAATAATAGCTGTGTAATAAAATATTAAAACTGACCTCTAAAATACAGTTATATCCGTTGAAAAGCCGATCGTTTGAAACTGAATACATAGATGAATACTCCTAAATAAAATGAGTCTTCATCACCTAGAACAAAAAAAAAATGCATATTAATTTTCAATACTAATTATTAAACAAACAAATTTGTACTGTATCAAATGAATCATCATATTATTTTATTAATACCGATTGCATTGTATTATTGAAATCGTCTAATAATATCTATAAATCTAATAATAACACTTTGGTTGAACAAAATGTTTGCAATTATATTTTCTTTTATAACCGTTACCAGGACATTTTATTTAGTTTAAGTTAAATTTAAACTCCTACCTCACACTCGCACACACATACATAATACGTGAATGTTAATAATGTTTTACACTTGTTGTGACTAATTGAAAAGTATACGAGTTGGGTTCTAAAAAATTAAAAATAAACGCTTACACAATATCATGTTTACGACGAAGAGACGTATCTGTATTAATTCGACTGCACGAGGTTTTAAGTAATTTACAAATTATTATCATCAAGTCGAACCATCTTAATCGAGTTACTTCAAGAATGTCCTTGAGTTTTAATAATGTAACGCACACTACATCGTCGACTCGTTCGACTCGAAACGCGTAACCCATTAGTTTTCCTTATTTTTTCCGCAACTTTTTCTCACTCGTATAGTTATATTGATTCGGTAAACGGCGACTGTTAACGAACAAACGTCCGTGATTTTCCGTCGACTGGGAATAATGAAATAGTAACACGAAGCGGTAACGGATAAAGTCGCGTAATTTATGCGATTCGTTTATACCGAATACGTATACCATCGCGTATACAAGTGGATTGGACAAAAAAAAAATAAATAAAAACAACTGTGTCCACCATTAACGCGATTATCGAAACCCGTCGATGTTTTTTTTTTCAATATGACAATATGTAGTACGATTCGTAGTTCCTTATATTTATTCGCACAAAAAACCCGACGGATGACCACTATATTTTGTTGCTGTAACTTTTTGTGGAGCGGTGCATGTGTGTGTCCATTAAAATATTATCGATTTAATCGTCCGACTCGGAAGTAGGTATTGTCCCTCGGGCACTGTTCGGTCTTTGCGAATTCCTGCGATTTATAATTCACTAATTATAATATACAGGATGTTACACTGTACACGTTGAAAATGTCAGTTCGAAGTATTATCGTGAATATCCGTTGTGGTTCGGTTATACTCAACTAAATCGCTGTATAATAATAATGTATCCAACGTGTTTATAGTGTTATATTTTATTATGTATGCTTGTATTACCGCGTAGTAAATGTATACCATCGCGTAAACGTGTCTTAAATCGTTCTAGGTTAACGCAAATATCGGTCGTAGGTATCATATATATACTTGTGTTATACTTGTGTGTAGATTCGTGTAGCGCGCCGACTTAGAGAGTGATGGTTTCCCAGCAGTTTTGTTGTAATTTCCGTCGTTTTACGTCAAACACGAAACCTGATCGAGTTCTACAGCAACAGGATTGTACAACGTTGTGTACATTTTCTGCGATCTGAACATTTATAGACGGTAAATCTGCAGCACCACGATTCTTAAATGCTATGTATATCGTTAGTAATCGTAAACCCATACAGCACTGTAATATTAAAAGGGATATCGTTTTTTCAATTTTCTCTCTCTCGTAATATTATTACTTTTCGTACGCGAAAAAACATGTACAACGTTGTACAGATCATACGACCAAATGTTTTAACGGATACATTTTTTTTATATTTAATAATTTCATGAACAACAATTTTAAAAATTCCTTTCACGAGCACTACAGTTTACTTAGTAGTTGACCAGTTCGTTAATAGTTTTAAACATATGTTTATTTACTTTAAATAAGTTTCGTCTCGAAAATATCTACACTCTATACGATTTTTTCCCTCATCCCTTCATTTTTAAGTTCTAGAAATCATGCCATAATATGGTCAATATAGACGTAATTACTTTTCGTTCAGGTCGCTTTAGATTCAATATATCGAAACTACGTGTTCTACGCTTAATATTGATATAATTTAATTAATCGTGATAACTATCGAATTATCCTAATCGTTGGTTTGCTATTTTTCTCTAGCCTCCCCGTTCAAGATTTCTGCAGCCATCTGATGGATTTTCTTTGCACGTGTGCATTAAATACAACATTCCTGTGTGTTTGCGCGTACGGTAATTTTTGTACTTTAAACGTCCTTAATACAACAATAGAAAGCGATAGAAATCACACGAAAAATATTATCTGTACACGTACTTAGTACGTCGTAATGATATAATCTTATTATTATTATTATTATTATTATTATTATTATCATCCTAGGAAATTGAATACGGCCGTCGGCAGATAAAAACGTAATCCTCGATTAATACAAATGTATGAACAGACCAGCGAACGCTTTGCTAGGAAGAAGAATCACAAGTCAGTCGTTGATTTTCGCACTTGATTGATGGTTATTTCGACGCTGGTGTAGATATTTGTATCTTACTAAATTGTCATGGTTAATTTCGACTCGTATACAGTACATTATATGAGCGACGGTGACGGAAGAATCAAAACTAACAATTGAATTGTTAAAAATATGCGAGTACAAAAATCACGTGTACATGTATACGAAGAATTTCTGTAATACTATTAATTGCCAACACGAAAATTACGCGTAATAATATACCGTAATTACATGAATGACACGGAATCATATAAGTTTATGCGCTATTAAAATTATTGTAAATATTATTACAATAATTGTGTCTAATCCCATAAGGTATTACCTATTTGTTTTTTCAATTGTTACACACTCGTGAGGATTCTTACATGACGACATGGTCCGTGAATTCTATTTCCAAAAATACTCTGAACGTAGAATTTTATTATTTCCCTTTGGTATAATAAATTTACGAGGTAGAAGTTTTTTTTTATGTGGAAACAAAATTAATTCATTATATTATTAAATGCAACAAGTACTTTTTCATCAAGTGAACAAAAAACGTTTATCCAAATTTTATATATGACGTGTGACACTTATATCGAACTCGTATATGATATAATTTTTAGAAAAATTATCCTAGTCACAAGTAATAAAGAACGACATGAAAAAAAAAAACAGACAACAGTTATTTCATCATCGGAAGAGTGACATGTTCTTAACAACAATGCTCGATTCAATAGAAAAAACATCAAATACGATTTATTTTTATATTTTTTTTATAACTATTTAAACAGTTATATATCCATCAAGAGTATTTTTTATTTAATTATATTAGTTAAAAACTAGATAGAATGATTTTATTTACTGCCCAATCATACGAAATTATATTATTTGAAGTATTTTACCACAATGATAATACCTTTTTTAGTTTTTTTTCTTCATTATATTTCATGTTAAGATTTCTTACTTAAAATTTGTTTATTAACGTAATATTTTCAGTTCACATGATGTGTATAATAATTTTAAACCCGTCAAGAAAACAGTACCCAATTGTTCATCGTCGTAATGGTATAATTCGTTAATTTCTACCGACGCGTAATTTGTTGATTATTAAATATATACTTAACCATTTATATTATTCCGAATATAACTGTAAAAATGTTTAGAACCACCCGATGTCTTAATAATTACTAGGTAATTGTTAGTACGTTTAAAAATGTGTAACAAAAGCTTTCAAAAGGTAATTTCTCGATTATTAAAAAATAGCACTTCTCATAATTACATAAAACGTACGACTGTCGATTATTTAATTTTTTAATTGATTTTAAATAAAAGTAATTTTATTTTATAAATGTATATATATATATATATATATGGTATACACAAGTATTAGCAATGAAATAAAAACTCTGCATGATTACTTGTTTTTAATTGTAATTAATTTAAGATATTTTGCTGATATTAACAATAAATATTAAATTAAAGGAGTTTTCGAACATTTGTTATTATATTTCAATCACAGTGTGGTTATCACATTCATTAAGTTCAACACAAATCAATGTTTAGTTGAATTTTTTTTTTAAATTATCGATATAAAATGGTTACTAAAATCATTCTATATTAACACGATAATCAATAATTAAAAATATAATACCAGAGATTGTTAAATTAAAATGTAGACATTTAAAGTTTTGTTTATAGATTATTAAATATACGTATATGTTTTATTTCTACGAACGATAACCTCGATTTGTGCTGTGATTTATAGTAACCCGTGTAATTTTACTCTTTTTATAGGATTTTTATTTCTTCATTACATTCTTTTAAACGATATAAGAATAGTTTGCGAATCAAAACGTACACAATGAACTTGCAACAAAATGTACTCGTATAATTGCATACATGGTATTTAGTTACACTTGGAAAATTTAGCTGGCCAATACAATAAATTTATTTTCGGTATGTATACATATAACTCAAATAAAATACCTTAATTATGTAATATGCGTACATATTCATATAATATAAAATGTACATTACACATACATATCATTATTATTATTATTACACGTACATACACGAAATCATCCTATTAAAATGTATATGCTGATGATACGATATCCGACGGAGCGTGTAAAAATATTATTTAGGTGTGAGCTGCTATAAGAAGAGAAAGTCAAACGATCGACGGTACATGGATGGAATAAAGTATAAACTGAAATAAGTGTTTCCCTGAGCCTAATGATACTTGCCATGCCCGATATAGTGCTGTGGAGGGCGGAAGGGTACACTTCTGTATAATATATTTACTAGCAATGCATACGTGTCTTTGTTGTCAGTCGTATATGCCGGTTATTATTCCACAGCAGTGGGGTTTTGATCGTTTATCTTGTGTGGTTAATAAATCGAAAATAACCGAGTTCGCTCCAGAAATACTGTAATGCACGACACTGTCCCCCCCCCACCCCCATCACTCGCAAATACAGAATAATATTCTGGAGCCCTTTACACGCCGATACGCGCACGTTTATCATATTAAGTATAATATCCGCAGTAACTCGTTAACGTTTCGAAAACGTCACAGAATCAACTTTCGTCGTGCAGGAATACTATTGTAATATACCACAAT